TCTAGAAAATGAATCTGGTCAAGACACTTTCCATTGGAAACCCTTTCCATTGGCCACTCAACAAGTGACAAGATTTATATGAATACATATGGCCCCTGTCCTAGCAGCGTAAGTTTTTTATGAGACGATAACAAATCTTAATCACATAAATAATTACTATAATCAGAAAACACGTCTCTAGCTTTAACACTTCCACTCTCCTCTCAAAAGTTCTAGCACCAAAGATCTCTCCCTCTCTGTTCCTCCCTTTCTCTCTCCCCTCACAAAAAGCTGAATTAATAAATACTGCGATTCACAGAACTGAACAGTTAAAGAAGCCTAAATCACTGCAGAATATAACAACTTATCAGACACTCAACAATCTTTAAAACAAAATTCATGTTGATGAAACAAGCCATAAATCAAGAAGCTAGAATCAGCTGGAGAAAAGAATTCTCAGGGCTGAGAGCAACAACCTACAAGTTACAAGATGCGTGGATTTAGAAAAATTGGGATAAACAAACTAGTTAAAAAGCAGAAATATAAGTAAACTGATTACAACAACAAGAAATGAGATGTAGAGAACAAAAATAAAAAAAAAAAACTTCAAATCGGGAGGGCATGGTTAACAAGAAGATGTTCAAGTCAAAGAGACTACGATAAAATCATTAAAAAAGCTCAAGAGAAAAATTGGGAAATGCTAAAAAACGAGAGACCTACATATTGTAAGAATCAATAATCTCATCAAAGACGACACAAATTTGCCAAAATTTCTGTGCAAGTCAAAATATACATTTGCCAATTACAGAAAATCCATTGGCGACATGGAAGAAAATCCAAGTACATGAGCATGGAAGAAAATCCAAAAATAACAAGTAAATGGAAACACCATGGCGACAACCCACATTTCGAAATGTACAATTCCAGCAAATGGGCATCGAGATTGCAGATGTAACACAGAGAAGGGCTTAAATCCGTAAACGAAATCGTGAAGTAGCTCAGTGTATGAACCAGCAGTGATGAAATTGCTGAACAGAAACCAAAAAAAAAACTCGAACAAATTACAGCTACGAAACCTACCTGTTTCTACGGTGGAGGAAGCGATGCAGCGTTCGCCGTGAGAGACGACTCGGACAATGGTCGTTGGTTGGGTTCAACTAGAAAACGGCAGCAATCAATGCTGCATGAGAGGGCGAATCGAACGGCGTCCGGTGTCGAGAGAAGGTTTGGGGAAGAAATGGTTCGATTTTATGGGGTTTGATTTTCCTGATTTTGGTGGAAAATGTTTTACCTACTCTGAGACGGGAAATATATTTCAAGGATTTCAGGAAAAAGAGGTCACGTGAGGGGGAAAATAGGAAAATATTTTCCATGTAAAATTTGACACATCAAACGGGGTAAAAAGTGGGAAAATGGAAAAAAATTTCCACTTTCCTTGGAAAATATGGTTTATCAAACAGGGCCTAACAGTTTTTATCCATTTGGACTTTGGGTGCAAATTTTTGAAATATTTGGTACTGTGGGTGACATAAATAAAAAGTTTGAATTAATTCTGCAATAAAATAAACGATTTGATACCGTGGTTACAATTCTATATAATTTAATAATATAATTAGGTCGTCTCGACTCTCGAGTGTGCAAGTGTTGCAACCTCATGGAGAATCCCATACTACGGGAACACAATAAATTGATATATTTACTTTAGGAAAATTTAGAGAATACATCCCATGTTTAGTCTGTATTTACACTTTACACACCGTCTTTTTTATATTCACACTTTACCTACTACATTTTATTTTATAGTAATAAAAACAACTTCTGCTAAAAAAAATTACAAATGTCATCCATAACAAATTACACCTTCTGTATTAATATTTCACATAACAATTTTTTAACCATTTTTTTCTTTTCAAAAATTCAAATTCAATATCATTTCTAATTTCTTTTTCTCTCTCATTTACCTATCCATTCATAATGTCTAATATCAAATTTTTTTCTAATTTATTGTTTTTAATTTTTATTCATTGAACAAATTTTAATTAGACAAAAATAATCTCATATTCGTGGTAAGTAGAATAAAAGCATGCCCACTGCGACTCAAAGTTGCCACATGAATGATCAAGTTTACAATTTTTAACAGTTCATATAGAGTAACATTCAAGTTAATGAAGCGATAGTACCAAATATATATTGAGTAATGTTATTTGTATATAATGATGACATGGAAGGAAAAAAAAAAGAATTGAAAAGAAAAGAAATTCAATTTGTGGAAAAATCAGGCACAGTTTCTATTTGTGGAAAAATCAGATTTCTATCACGAATTTTGATATTTGTACACCAAAATTTACACGTAACAGCCCCCTCACTATTGGGCAAGGGCACCCTATTGTGAGGGGTTGTACACCAAGGTGTAAATCCCTGGTGTAAATCTAGCATTCTTCTATCACTGCATTCTATTTGCATGTGATGATGTGATTCAATAGTTCGTCAAAAACCATGGTTTAGTCACCGCATCAACTTGATAACACAGTTATATATATATATATATATTATTATTATTATTATTATTAATTTTGTACTTTATTAATCAAATAAATTCGTACTTTGTTAGTGACTAATCTGAAGAATTTTCTTGTGTTGTTGTGCTAAGTTGGATGATTCGTGCAGTGGTTAGAACCCGTCTGACTCACAAACATATTATATCTGTATAACTTTTCATATGAACATTTATACTTTAAAATCGAGTTTTGATATAAAGAATTGTTTTAATTGCATATAAGCTTCGGCATGATTCTAGTTGGCTTGGTTTTGAACTCAATTCGAAATTGAAACCGACTGATCGGTTTGGGTAACCCAATCCAACAATTGAAACCAAACCAAACCAAACAAATTCGATTTGGATCGGTCAATCGATTTGAACAAGTTAAAAAAATTTGCCCAACCAAGATTAAAATATATATATATATATATCTCTCTCTATATATATATATATATAATTTTTTTTGGCGTTCGTAGTACGTATTAGTAACATGTATAGCCCTTGTTTGATTCTCATTTTTTTTCAAAATATATTTTTCTTTCTCTTTTTTTCAACCACACGTTCTTCAATAAAATAATATTGCACGCAAATTCAAAACTGTTCATTATTCTTCAACCATACATTCTTCATCAATCAATTATTTCAAAATCCATTCTTAAGATTTTAATGTGGCTCAAATAATTACATCAAAATGAAAAGCAATGCTATAATCTAAATTTGGAATTTAAGATAAAAAAAAATTA